TGCACGCATTCCATCTACATGCACGCATTCCACCTACATGCACGCATTCCACCTACATGCACGCATTCCACCTACATGCACGCATTCCACCTACATGCACGCATTCCATCTACATGCACGCATTCCACCTACATGCACGCATTCCACCTACATGCACGCATTCCATCTACATGCACGCATTCCATCTACATGCACGCATTCCATCTACATGCACGCATTCCACCTACATGCACGCATTCCATCTACATGCACGCATTCCACCTACATGCACGCATTCCATCTACATGCACGCATTCCATCTACATGCACGCATTCCACCTACATGCACGCATTCCACCTACATGCACGCATTCCACCTACATGCACGCATTCCACCTACATGCACGCATTCCATCTACATGCACGCATTCCATCTACATGCACGCATTCCATCTACATGCACGCATTCCATCTACATGCACGCATTCCATCTACATGCACGCATTCCATCTACATGCACGCATTCCACCTACATGCACGCATTCCACCTACATGCACGCATTCCATCTACATGCACGCATTCCATCTACATGCACGCATTCCACCTACATGCACGCATTCCACCTACATGCACGCATTCCACCTACATGCACGCATTCCACCTACATGCACGCATTCCATCTACATGCACGCATTCCACCTACATGCACGCATTCCATCTACATGCACGCATTCCATCTACATGCACGCATTCCATCTACATGCACGCATTCCACCTACATGCACGCATTCCATCTACATGCACGCATTCCATCTACATGCACGCATTCCATCTACATGCACGCATTCCATCTACATGCACGCATTCCACCTACATGCACGCATTCCATCTACATGCACGCATTCCACCTACATGCACGCATTCCACCTACATGCACGCATTCCACCTACATGCACGCATTCCATCTACATGCACGCATTCCATCTACATGCACGCATTCCATCTACATGCACGCATTCCATCTACATGCACGCATTCCACCTACATGCACGCATTCCATCTACATGCACGCATTCCACCTACATGCACGCATTCCACCTACATGCACGCATTCCACCTACATGCACGCATTCCATCTACATGCACGCATTCCATCTACATGCACGCATTCCATCTACATGCACGCATTCCATCTACATGCACGCATTCCATCTACATGCACGCATTCCACCTACATGCACGCATTCCATCTACATGCACGCATTCCACCTACATGCACGCATTCCACCTACATGCACGCATTCCATCTACATGCACGCATTCCATCTACATGCACGCATTCCACCTACATGCACGCATTCCATCTACATGCACGCATTCCATCTACATGCACGCATTCCATCTACATGCACGCATTCCATCTACATGCACGCATTCCACCTACATGCACGCATTCCATCTACATGCACGCATTCCATCTACATGCACGCATTCCATCTACATGCACGCATTCCACCTACATGCACGCATTCCATCTACATGCACGCATTCCACCTACATGCACCCACCATCCATCCAGCTCACCTCAGGTGCCATCCAGCGCACGGTGCTGGTCTCGCAGGTCATGTCGTTGGGGTGTTGGCCTCCGTGCGCGTCCCTCGTACCCTCAATACCCATGCACTCACTCATCTCCACTCTCCACACACTCCCCCCGCCTCACCTCGGGCGCCATCCAGCGCACGGTGCCGGTCTCGCACGTCATGTCGTTGGGGTTTTTGGCCTCCTTGCGCGCCCCTCGTACCCCCAATACCCATGCACCCACTCGTCTCCCACTCTCCACCCCCACCAGCTCACCTCAGGCGCCATCCAGCGCACGGTGCCGGTTTCACAGGTCATGTCGTTGGGGTTCTTGGCCTCCGTGCGCGCGACACCAAAGTCGGCGATCTTGACGGTGCCCTTGTGGTCCAGCAGCAAGTTGTCGGACTTGAGATCGCGATGCACCACGTCGCGCGCATGCAGGTAGCTGTGACGGGGGAAATGGGGAAGGGAGGAAGAGGGGGAATGGACGGGGTTGTGTGGGAGACGGGGGAGGAGGAGGAGGAAAGCAAGCAGAGGAAGCACGACCGCCCCCTGTGGTCCAGCAGCAGGTTGTCGGACTTGAGATCGCGATGCACCACGTCGCGCGCATGCAGGTAGCTGTGGGGGGGGGAGGAGGGGGGGATGGGGGAATGGGGGGCGGGAGGGGGAAAGGTTGGAAGGGGCAGGGACCTTGACGGCCCCCTTGTGGTCCAGCAGCAGGTTGTCGGACTTGGGATCGCGATGCACCACGTCGCGCGCATGCAGGTAGCTGGGGGGGGGAGGGGGGAAGGAGAAGAGGGGGGTGGGGAAGGGGAAAGGGGGTGCGAAAAAAAGTGCGAATTTTTTAGCCCACGGCCACTGTCCCCTCCATCCACGCTCATACGCGCCACCAATCCCCTACTCTTCTTACTTTCCACCCTGCCCCGACCATGCCCGCCCTTTCATGCCCATCCCATCCCTTGATGCCCACCCCGCCGCATTCGACTATCCCGCCTCTCCCCCTCTACTTACAACCCCCCTTCCCCCTCTCCCCTCTCCCCCTCCCCCCAAGCGGCGCACCAGAGGCCGCGCGCGATGTGCAGCGCGAGGCGGACGCTCTCCTTGGGCGGAAGCTTGCCGCGGCGGGCGAGGTGCGCGCGCAGAGTGCCCCCGCCCATGTACTCCGTCACGATCGCCCACAGCGGCTGCCCGGGCGGCGGCTTCGCGTCGCTCGGCGCGCGGATGTTCGCCGCGTTGAGCGATGCGCCGATGAACTGGCGGGGGGGGAGCGGAAAGGAGGGGGTGGGGGAGTACGAGAAAGTGGGAGGGGAGGGGGGAAGAGGGAATGGGGAGTGAATACGAAGATTCTAGTTCCATCGTAGCTGCATGTTGCTATCTACACGACGCTGGCGTGCGACGGCGTAATAACTGTTCGACATGGCCGTGCGACAGTGACTCACCTGCACGACGTTGGGGTGGCTGAGCGTGTGCCACACTTTAATCTCCTGCAGGAAGGAGCTTTTGAGTCCCTCCAGGTCCTTGGCCGCCATGTCAGCCGGCACGTTCAGCAGCTTCACCGCCACGTCATCGCCCTCGTACAGCCCGTGAAACACCTTCCCGAACGCGCCTGCTGCCAGCTGGTTCGTGCACATCACCTGGGGACACGGACCGCGGAACGCGGGGGGCGCACGGCAGGGTGTGAGCGGGCGAAGAGGACGAGGGGTGCTCTGAGCAGGGTGATGCAGCAGCAGCGAGTGCGCGCATGACAGCACCAACAGTACAATGACAGTAGCACGTTATACTAATAAGCAGTCCGCTCTAACTCTGCCTACCCGCCTGCCAAGCCGTCACACTTTACCAGCGCAACTCACCTTGCTCATATCCAGCGTCCACGGCGCAGCACCGCCGCTCTCATCCGCCACCTTCGCCGCCGCCTTGCCCATTCCGCCCTCCGCCTTTTCCGCCGCTCCCCCGTCCGTCTTCCCCTTGGCGGCTGCGCCTCCCCCGCCCGCCAGCGCGTCCATGGTGCTCAGATCCAGCAGGTCCGCGCGCACCATTCCGCCGCCCTCCGTCCCCATCGCCCCCGCCTTCTTTCCGCTTCCGCTTCCGCTTCCGCTTCCGCTTCCGCTTGCCGCGCGACTGATTTATCTGAACCTCGTCTTTCGCTTTCACTCCGCGCCAGTCTTCGGCTCTGCTCTAATCCTTCACCAAGCATGCGCGGATTTCAATGAGCAAATAAGCGACTTTCGAGCGACTCCAAAGTCTTCGGCGCTGCGCTGCTCTAGTCTTTCACCGAGCATGCGCCATTCTTAACGAACAGCGACGGAGGTCTCCGTGACTTTGTCTCGCAGGAGTCTATCCGACGGTCGTCAAACGGAGGCCGACTGATCCGCTTCTGCGTGCTGGCTTTCCGCAACGCGCTCCGGGTTCAGCTACTAGAGGGCGACGGGAATTCATAGTGCGAATTCATGGCGACGGGTGAGTCGAAGCTGGAGCGCACTGCGATACGACGCCCGATGCCCGATGAAGCTTCGCTCTGTTCTTCCAGCACCCGTGTGAAGCCAGCATGCGTCGCGATTGACCGTCACTGGCACCCGTGGTTCAGCGTGCACTGCATTGCGGTGTTTTACTCAGATGCTCGCAGGAAAAACAAACGTTATCAAAATGCACTTCGTTGGACTACTTTTAAATCCACCAAAACAGACGTTCTTTGGAAAAAAGAGCGTGGTTTCAAGGCCTCGCAGCAGAAATACCTGGAAGCCTGAAACGAGCATTTAGTTCCCGAGTGCAAGACTGATAAGACCAGATGGTGCCACTGCTGCTGCTGGTGTGAGTGCAGTGAACGAGCACGCAACTCCCTAGACTTACTGTGGAGGCGAGGGGAGAGAGGAGAGGCAATGAAACAACTCCAAGATCCAACTTAATCCCGGTTTGACAGCCAACAAGCAGCAATCGAATCGTGCTGCTGAGCAAGCCCAAGGCAGTGAGCGACGTGCGTGACGGAGACGAAAAACGGGTTTGCTTGGTACGGAACATACCACGTGTGAATTCCGATTGGTAGATAATGCCCGCCGGTTGACACGTGGCATGTTTTAGTGGCCTAAGGAGTGCCTTTTCGTCCCACGTGAAGCCGTTTACACGACATAGCAACGCTATACAGAGAGAGCGAATTATATTTAGAGCTCTTCTGAAAATAACACGTCTGATATCTCATCTACTCATTTCTTATAATAGACCTCACTTGGCTGTAGATTCTTTAAGCATTGGTTGTGAAACAGCCTCGACTTTCATTCTCGCTATTGACTGGCATTCCAATCAACTCATGTAAGCACAGCAATTTTATAATAATGACTATATGCTCCTAGACCAGTATTGGTGGTGTAAAGAGACAAAAACTACACTACCAGCTCTTGGGAGATACCTCAGTCCTACCCAGGTATGTGAGGTATTCCACGGCCTCAGCCTACGTGGCATAAGCAGGTTGGTCGGCCGCGGGGTCGACTTGAGAGGGCAGCCAATGGGAGGTGAGGCGCCTGAAGCGCGTTGCTGCATCCACCAGCACTCTCTTCAACGCCATGCCCAGTGCAGCGAGCAGCACAGCCAGCGCTGCCAGCACCACCCTCACCTTGAGCACCACACTGCCTCCCATGCGCCCAAACGCCGCTCCCAGCAACAGCCACAGCCGCTTCCTCCTCGCCACCGCCTCCGCTGCTGTCGCCCTCCCCTCCCTCTCCTCCCACTCACTCTCACTCCCACTATCTTCCCCACTGCCACTACCGGACAAACCAGCCACTCCCACACTCCCAGGTGGCTGTCTCTGATTGGCGAAGCCCAGAGCGGCAGCAGGCAGGGGGGGAGGGGGAGAGGGGGCGAGGAGGCGGGTGGGCGAGGAGGAGAGCTGGGAGGCGGTGATGGCGTCGAGGGGCAGTTGGGCCACACCTAATGATGCGCACAGTGCGTCTGCCACCACTCTCGCCAGCTTGTCCCGTGCCACTTCTGCTTCTGGGGATACGAATGCCTCTGCTAGCGCACGCATGTCCTGGGAGAGCGTGGTTGTGGGTGGGGTGGAGAGGGGTGGAGTGAGGTGTTGTGAGGTGGGTACATAGGGCACAGCGCGTCTGCCAGCACGCGTGCTAGCTTGTCCCGTGCCACCTCTGCCTCTGGGGATACGAATGCCTCTGCCAGCGCCCTCATGTCTCTGCCAGCGCCCTCATGTCCTGGGAGAGGGTGGTTGTGGTTACGGTGGGGTGAATGGGGTGGAGTGGGGTGGAAAGAGGTGGTGTGAGGTGGGTATGGAGGGTTGTTTGGTTAGAACCAGGGATGCGCACAGCGCGTCTGCCACCACGCGCACTAGCTTGTCCCGCGTGCCCTGGGAATGACTCGGCGGGCGCTGGCAGTGTGTCGGGCGAGCGCCACATCCATCCCCAGCGCGGCAGGTGGATTGGTCTCAGATTAGCAAGGCAGGCATGCGGAGAAGCGGTGGGGCAGCAAGGGGGGCATCATACAGACACGAAGGGACCTACCGACTCAAGGATGACTCGCCGTGCGCTGGCAGCGTGGCGGGAGAGCAGCACATCCATCAACAGCGGGCAGGGGGATTGGTCTCAGATTAGCAAGGTAGGTAAGCAGAGAACCAGTGTGTTGACAGGAACCTACCGACTCCAGGATGACTCGCCGTGCGCTGGCAGCGTGTCGGGAGAGCAGCACATCCATCAACAGCGCGGCAGGGGGATTGGTCTCAGATTAGCAAGGTAGGTAAGCAGAGAACCAGTGTGTTGACAGGAACCTACCGACTCCAGGATGACTCGGCGCGCACTGGCAGCGTGTCGGGAGAGCAGCACATCCATCACCAGTGCTGCCGGGCTGGGCGTGGCGCGGGGAGAGGCGGCGCCAGCAGTGGCGGCGGAGGAGGCGGAGAGTGGGGAGGCGCCGGGCATGGGGGGCATGCCGGGGATGGGGGATTGCAGGGACGGCATGGCCAGTGATGCCACCAGGTCGCTGCATGGATGGGAGGGGAGGGGGGGAGGGGGGGGAGGGGGAGAAGGTGGCGTTGGAGAGAAGGAGACAGGTAAGGCGCCGGGCATGGGGGCCATGCCGGGGATGGGGGATTGCAGCGATGGCATGGCCAGTGATGCCACCAGGTCGCTGCATGGGTGGGAGGGGAGGGGGGGGAGGGGGAACAAGGGAAGAGAGAAGCAGCAGATGGGGTTGAGGGAAGAAGAGCAAATTGTAGGCGCTAGAGGGAGGACCGGAGGAGGAGGTGAGGAGGTGCATTGAAGGAGCAGGAGTCTCAATGCACAGAGAGGTTGCAATGCCTCTTGGCATGAGAGGAACGCACTTGATCAGTCGTTTCATGCTGCTACCCCCCCTCTCCCCCTCTAACCCCACCCCCCTCCCTCGCTCTGTGCTGCTACCTTCGCCCTCCTCCCACGTACCGCTGGGCTTGTGTGGAGCTGGCAGCGAAGGAGGCGAATCGCTCCCAGCGCAGCTTGCCCTCTCGTGTCTGCACCAGCTGGCGCAGCACGTGGCGCGAGGAGGGCGAGCTGTCAGTGAGGAGGCGGCGCACCACGTAGGGGTAGGCTGAGGCGAACACTCGGAAGGACGGGTCCACTGCCACGCCGATGCCTGCAGGGATGGGTACGGGCGTGGAAGAGAGTGCACTTAAACGCACTTAAACACCCCGAAGGACAGGTCAACCACAACATAGGGGTCGATGCCTGCATGCACGCGGATGGGCACGGGAGAAGAACCACTTAAAAGCGCAGCATAGGGGTAGGCTGGGGCGAACACTGGGATGGCAGTGGAAGGAGAGGAGAGAGACGGACATGCGATGATTGTGCCCATGGGGCATGCAAGCAAGCAAGGAGTGAACTCGATGGTAGCGTGGGGCTGGTGAGGAGAGGGGCGGTGGAAAAGGCCCCTTCAAGGGACAAGAGCGATCAGCACGAGGGTGAAGTAAGTGGGGGGGGGGAGCTGTGGCAGCGAGGGAAGTGGAGGTGGGTGACAGCGAGGGGGCAGGGGGCACTTTCGAGCGAGGGAGCGCAGCGCGAGGGTGTAGTACGGGGGCAGGCGGAAGGGAGAGTGGTGACAGAGTGATGGATGGCAGGGAGAGCTGTGTCAGACAGACGGACGGCAGGGGAGGGTGGGCACCTTCGAGGGAGGCGAGGGAGCGCAGCACGAGGGTGTAGTACGGGGGCAGGCGGAAGGGAGAGTGGTGACAGAGTGATGGATGGCAGGGAGAGCTGTGTCAGACAGACGGACGGCAGGGGAGGGTGGGCACCTTCGAGCGAGGCAAGGGAGCGCAGCACGAGAGTGTAGTAGGGGGGGAGGCGGAAGCGGAAGCGCAGCGCCATGCGCCATAGCTCACTCGTCACCTGCCCATGGGGGGCCAGGGAGACAGGGGGGGACGTGGCACGGGGGCATGGGAGAAGGGGAGCGCGGGGTGCATGGCTTCGGGGCAACTGACAAGGCGTAGGAGGGCGAAACAGATTGGCAGAGCGGATAGATGGAGGGGGAGGGCGAGGGGTGCGGGGAACACATGACTGGATCGGACAGCCCTGCTGGTGGTAACAAGAATGCAGGTTCAGAGAGCAAGGTGCACCTGTCCGAACTGCATGGTGGGGGCGCCTCCTGAAGCGGCCCCTCTCTGTCGGCCGCGACCAAACGCCTCCTCCAACGCCTGCCGGAGGGCACACCAGGGAAGGGTAAAAGAGGGGTGGTGTTACGGGGTGGTTGAACTGGTGTGGCAGGTTAATGGGCTGGGTCCAGGCCCGTGAGATGGGGCATGCGAGAGGGGAGAGTGGCGATGGGACGGGAGCAACAAGGCTGTGTGAGGCATGGGGGGGCGAATGCAGTGCTCATTAGCGTGATAGTAAGAGAACGGGCCAAAAGCGATTGCGGATCAAGAGGGAGTGCGGATCAAGAGGGAGTGCGGATCAAGAGGGAGTGCGGATCAAGAGGGAGTGCGGATCAAGAAGGAGTGCGGATCAAGAAGGAGTGCGGATCAAGAAGGAGTGCGGATCAAGAGGGAGTGCGGATCAAGAAGGAGTGCGGATCAAGAAGGAGTGCGGATCAAGAGGGAGTGCGGATCAAGAAGTAGCCCCTGTGAGAACCCACCATGGTGAGCGCGCGCCTGTCAGTGGTGGGCTTGAGGACGTCCATGGCAGCGAGGTCGGCAGCCAGCATGCTCAACTCGCCTTGTGGGCGCACCTCAGCATTCAGCACGGCGAGAGCAGCTCAAGAGTGACTGAAAGAGAGCGCGCTTCAAAACCCACCATGGAGAGCGCTCGGCGGTCAGTGGTGGGTTTAAGCACGTCCATAGCGGCGAGGTCGGCTGCCAGCATGCTCCACTCGCAATGTGGGCACGTGCCAACAATGCTTACCATGGTGAGCGCGCGCCTGTCAGTGGTGGGTTTAAGCACGTCCATGGCAGCGAGGTCGGCTGCCAGCATGCTCCACTCGCCGTTCACCAGATGCGCCACCGCTGCCAGCATTGCCTGCTGGTGCTGCCTCTCCATGCGACACAGCAGGCCAAAGTCCAGGTAGCTGGAGAGGGTGGAGGTAAGTGAAAAGGCGAGGGGAGGCAGAAGGAGGTGAGGGAGGATTTGAAGCACCAGTGCTGCCAATCTCGCCTGTGCTGGTGCTGCCGCTCCATGCGACACAGCAGCCCAAAGTCCAGGTAGCTGGTGGGTGGAGGAGAGGGAAGAGGCGAGGAGAAGCAGAGGGAGGTGAAGAACATGGCCCCATGCAAACACCTGTGCAAACATGGCTTCCTGGTGCTGCCGCTCCATTCGACACAAGAGATCAAAGTCCAGGTAGCTGGAGTGTGGAGAAAAAGGAGGAGGTGAGGAGAACAAGAGATAGAAGCTTAGAGGCACCACCTGCTGGTGTGTGGGTGTAAGGCGCCACCAGTAACACACCTAGGCAGGCGCCACCAGTAACACACCTAGGCAGGCGCCACCAGTAACACACCTAGGCAGGCGCCACCAGTAACACACCTAGGCAGGCGCCACCAGTAACACACCTAGGCAGGCGCCACCAGTAACACACCTAGGCAGGCGCCACCAGTAACACACCTAGGCAGGCGCCACCAGTAACACACCTAGGCAGGCGCCACCAGTAACACACCTAGGCAGGCGCCACCAGTAACACACCTAGGCAGGCGCCACCAGTAACACACCTAGGCAGGCGCCACCAGTAACGCACCTAGGCAGGCGCCACCAGTAACACACCTAGGCAGGCTCCACCAGTAACACACCTAGGCAGGCGCCACCAGTAACACACCTAGGCAGGCGCCTTCAGTAACACACCTAGGCAGGCGCCTTCAGTAACGCACCTAGGCAGGCGCCTTCAGTAACACACCTAGGCAGGCGCCTTCAGTAACACACCTAGGCAGGCGCCTTCAGTAACACACCTAGGCAGGCGCGTTTGTGTGAATTTGTGCATGCCTACGTGAGGGCTAGGCGTTGAAAAGGAGAGAGCACGCATGCGACTTGGCCTTGGGGCGTGAGGAGCAGGTTGCCGGGGTGTGGGTCGGCGTGCATGTGTGTGTGTGTGTGTGTGTGTGTGTGTGTGTGTGTGTGTGTGTGTGTGTGTGTGTGTGTGTGTGTGTGTGTGTGTGTGTGTGTGTGCATGCATGTGCAGGAGGGGCCATGTGCTGGAGATAGAGCACGCACGCGACTTGGCCTTGTGGTGTGAGCAGCAGGTTGCCTGGGTGCGGGTCGGCGTGCAGCACTCCCGTCACCAGCAGCTGCTCCAGTGATGACTCCACGCCTATGCCCACCTGGCGGAGAGAGAGAAGTGATGCAATGGGGAATGGAAGTGATGCAATGGGGAATGGAAGTGATGCAATGGGGAATGGAAGTGACGCACAAGGACGACGACATGAACAATGTGCCGTAGAGACGAGCAATTCAAGACCCCCACCACTCTCCCACTGTCCCTCCCACTCCCCTTACCATTCTCCACCCCTCTCCCCCACCATCACCCCCCCCCCCCCCACGCCCACCATCTGCAGCAGCTTCTGCTTGGCGCGCTGCCGTGCCTCCTCCCCCCCAGCGGCCCCCAGCACGCCCTGAGCCTGGGCGAGCAGGTCGCTGGTGCGCTCGCCCTCCACCCACTGCATCGTCAGCACCCGCCGCGAGGTCAGGTCTGACCGTATAGCGGGGACCGTGATGCCTGGTAGATGCGCGTGGGCTTTCTGGTGGGGTGGGGAGGGCAGCGGCAGGTAGGGGAGGGAGGAAGGTGGGAAGCAGGGCAGATGGGGCGAGGGCACAGGGTGAGGAACGGGAGGACGAGGAGAGGTTGTGGATGAGGGGGACTGTGATGCGGGGGAGATGTGTGTGTGTGTGTGTGTGGTGCAGTGCAGTAGGGAGCACAGTGGTGAGAAGCAGCCGTGGAATGTGTCATGAGGAATAGAAGCAAACATGCAAGGAAACAGGCACAGACAGCAGGGAGCGGCACGCACAGCGAAGAGAGTGGCGTTGGTGGCCTCTTGACGGTAGTCCAGCTCGCCATACAGCCCCCTCCCAAACCCGTCCGCCAACGCGGAGAGCAAGCAAGCATGCAAGCAGGTAAGCACACATAGACGACAGGGAGGGCAGCAGGGAGCAGCGTGCCACTGACAGCGAAGAGAGTGGCGTTGCTGGCCTCCTGGCGGTAGTCCAGCTCGCCATAGAGCCCCCTCCCAAACTCGTCCGCCAATGCTGCCAGGTCCGTGTTTATCCCCGCCACGCGCCTCACTGCCCGCAGCTGAAGAGGGGGGGAGGGAGGGGAGAGGGAGGACAAAGAGAGGAAGGGTGGGCAAGGTGGGCGAGGTGAGCGACGTGGGGAGAGGCAATGGGAGAAGAGCAACAGGGAAAAGAGCATGCAAACGGTAGAAGAGGGCTGACCAGCATGCGCAGGATGTGAATGTCTCTGGCGACGAGGAAGAGCACTCGGGGCCGCTGCACCTTCACCGCCACTCGCATGCCGTCCCGCGTGCGCCCCTTGTACACCTGTGAGGAGTGGGGGAGGAGGGCATGCAGGCACATATGGGCACACTCTGGGCCGCTGCACCTTCACCGCCACTCGCATGCCGTCCCGCGTGCGCCCCTTGTACACCTGTGGCGGGTGGGGCATGCATTCACATCCAGGCACATGTGGGCACGCGCACACATACGTGATGTGACTGGCCAACACATGCAGACACACGTGCAGACGCACATGCAGACACACGTGCAGACACACGTGCAGACACACGTGCAGACACACGTGCAGACACACGTGCAGACACACGTGCAGTAGCAGCGCACAGAGCAGCACGGCTGCTGGCCCTCTCACCTTCCCTGCCGCCACCCATGCTGCTGCGCTCACAGCCACTCTCCCTCGCTCTATCACTCTCACCTGCTCAGAAACTCACAACCCACGCCTCCCTCGCTCCCACTCTCACCTGTCCGGAACCTGACAACCGCCCTTCCCTTGCGTTCTCAGCTCACCTGGCCGAACGAGGCGGCAGCAACGGGCGTGGGCGAGAGGAGGGGGAAGAGCGCAGCAGCGGGGCGGCCCAGCTCCCTCTCGATGACGGCCATGGCGTCCTCTCAATCAATCACGGCCTCACACCCACTCTCACCTGGCCAAATGAGGCGGCAGCGACAGGGGTGGGCGAGAGGAGGAGGAAGAGCGCAGCAGCGGGGCGGCCCAGCTCCCTCTCGATCACCAACATGGCGTCCTCCGATGGGAACGCTGGCAGCCGGTCCTGCAGCTCCGCTAGCACCTGGTGGGGGGGAAGGGGGGGAGGAGGGAGTAGGAGGAGGTGAATTAGGCATGGCACACCCCAGTCGAGCTCCCTCTCGATCACCAACATGGCATCCTCCGATGGGAACGCTGGCAGACGGTCCTGCAGCTCTGCCAATACCTGGTGGGAGAGGTGGGACCGGGGTGGGAAGGGAGGGGGGGTTAGGCACAAACACAAACATGTGAGAACCGGAGTGGCAGGAAGGAAGGAACCACACCCCGGGCGAGCTCCCTCTCGATGACGGCCATGGCGTCCTCCGAGGGAAACGCTGGCAGGCGGTCCTGCAGCTCTGCTAGCACCTGAGAGGAGGGAGGATAGTTAGGCGCAAGACAAGGATGTGAGAGGCGGAGTGGCAGGGCGAGCTCCCTCTCGATCACCTGGGGAATTGAGGGGAAGGAGGCGGAGGCGGTGTGGGTAGGGGAGGGCGGCGGTGGGGGGATAGAGGCAGGGGAACAAGGAGTTGGGGCGCCAACAAGCTGGTAGCTGGGCCTGCAGCTCTGCCAACACCCGGGGGGAACGACAAAGGAGTTGGCGGGAAGGGGAGGAGGGTGGACGATGGGAATGGGGAGAACGACAGGGGAGTTTGGACAGGCGACTGTCAGACTTCAAGCCTGCACCCCTAACCCTCCACTAGGTATCGAATTTCCATGCCCTGTGCCCATCCTCTTCTGGCCCTCGCTCTCACAGCCCCTCACTCCCCTCCTTCCTTCTCACAGCCCCTCATCCCCACCTTCCTGCTGTCCTAGTCATGCCCGCCCCTCCCTGACAAACACTCACCTTGGCAGTGTCGGGCCCCACCACGTCCGGCCGCGCTGACAGCGACTGCGCCACTGGGGAGAGGGGGGAGGGGGGCGGGGGGCGGGGAGAGAAAAGAGGGGGAGACAGAGGGAGGGAAGGGGGGCAATGGGTAGGGGCGGAATGATAGGGGAAGTAGCAGGTCGGATGCAGGGAAACCGGGGGAGAGAGGGTTGTGGATTGCATACTGGAGGGCGGCACTCTCACCCTTAATGAAGGTGGGGCCGAGGCGCAGCAGCGTGCGCTTGAGCTTGAGCGCGCTGTGCTGGCGGATGGCGGCGATGCGCTCATCCCCCGCACTCACTCCCCCCGCCTCCCTCGCCCGTATGGCGCCCGTGTCCCGAACCACCTGCACCCACGTCGCTGCCAGCAGCACCGAGATCTGTGTGGGGGGGGGGAGCGGCAAGAGTTGACAGCTGGACCTCAATGCTGCATCGCTTGGCGCCCGTGTCCCGAACCACCTGCACCCACGTCGCTGCCAGCAGCACCGAGATCTGCAGCCAGGGGTGAGCAATGGCGACACCAGGCGGGGGAGTGATGGCAGTGGAAGAGAGTAAGGGTCAGTGAGGTGCAATGCGGGGAATGGGGGCTCAAGGTGTGGGGGCATCCATGGCTGCAGCTTGAGGGAAGCAGCTAGCGCAGCACGCCCATGCCCGTGCCAGTGGCAGCACCTTGAGTTGAGCCAAGTAGCAGCAGCTAGCCCAGCCATGCCCACGGGCGCACCTTGACTGTTGACTAACTTTTGAGTCAACTCAGCAGTTAGCCCAGCCATGCCCATGCCCATGCCCATCCCCCACGGGCGCACCTTGAGCGTGCGCAGCAGCACGATGTGCGGGCGGCGGTTGAAGTAGTGTGCCACGTCAGCAGGGTCGTACTCGTACTGCAGCGGAACGCGCCAGCTCTCCGCCCACCACCGCGCCACCTCCCCCAGCGCGCGCACGTACCCCGCGTCCCCCGCCAGTATCCCGCGCGCGCTCGCCCGCGCGGACGCTGCGCGGGGAGCACGGCGAGGGAGAGGGGGAAGGGGCGGGGGAGATGTGGGGGGTGGTGAGAGGGGGATCGAGGCGGACGCGGACGTCGTGTGGCGTGATACGCGCAGTAACAGCGGGAGCGAGTGCGCAGCGGAATAGCGGGGCAAGACCGCAGCGGGATCGCTGTGCGAGTGCGCGCGCACCGGGGTATTGGGGCGGAAGTGGCGGCATGGGGCGGCGGACGGCGGTCTCGTCTTCGAGGAAGCGCAGCTCGACGACGTCGCGCACCCACCCCGCCCACGACCAGTGCGCCAGAAAGCTGTCCTCCTCCTCCTCTTCCATCTCCAAACCTGCTTCCTCCTTCGCCTCCGCCCTCTCGTCGTCACTTAACTCGTTTTTTCTCTCCTCTGCGCCCGTCTCTCTCGATTCCGCTGCTGGCCTCCGCGCCGATCCGTCCCCTCGCGCGGACTGCGCGGGTCGCTCCCCCGCAAGGCCCGCGTCTGTTCGTCTCTCGCTCGAGCCGCCCTCCGATGCCGTCGTGGCTTCCACAACCGGGCTCGCCCTAGCTTGACACGTGGCATCGAGCCGCGGAGATACCGACGGTTGAGGAAACGATGGACTAACGAGCGAGGGGTAATGGACCCCGCGCGTTCGGCTTCCTGAACTTAATCTACTCGCATTACACTTTCGATTATCGCGGGACGACGATGCCGCTACAGCAGACTGACGTTGCCCATTCCGATGCTGCTGCGAGCCGCCTTCTAGTCGCGGCGCGGTCCCTCGTGGCTGGAGCGGATCCCATACTGATTGCCGCAATCGACGGCGCGGTGCGAGCAGGCCGCGTGGTCCTATGCAGGGAGCGCGACTCACGGACAGCGTTACTCCGACGCGGTCGTGCATTGCGCTAGCGGTAGCGTGTGACGCGCTGCGAGCGATAGTATTACAGCAGGACTTGGCGAGGAAAGCGATGCGCGCTTATTGCGAGGTATCAGTGAAAACCACGGCTTCAGACTCATCATGCTCGGACAATTTCCTGTCAGCGCTAATGATGGAGATGAGTCATTTGCTCCTAACTTCGTAACGCGTATACGCTGCTGATTATGCTATCACGCACCACGCAGATTCTAGACTGTGCAATGCAACCTCGACCGATGGAATCTAGGCACGGCTTTCTAAGGACGCGTCAACTCCCACCAAATTTCGGCGATCGATCGTACAGGCGATCGGTGTGCAGAATGTACAGTGATTTAACGACGTTGCCAACTACAAGGTATCCCTTTTTCGCCTGTTTTCGACAACGTACAGTAAAACGGTCACTGAAGTCTTGTCAGCTGTGGCTCGCGCAATCTATGTGCCTCCAGGCGGCGATCTATCATGCGATTAGGGAATAGGTAAATTTTGCCCCATAAAATCTCGATCCTGTCACAAGTGGCTCGATGGAGCCCTGCGATTGCAATTTTGCAATTGGGGAGCACCGGTGTGGCGATCGAGCCTGGCACGATCGGTGTGCAGCACCCATCCCCCGCCGATCTTGCCATTTTGGTGGGAGTTGACGCGTCCTAAGGGAAGTGTGGTCCCTCCATTTTCACCTGCCCTGAAGTCTCGCGGTTCGCCACAAGACAGGAGTTTATGTGTGGATGGGCATTGCTCCCTTTGTGTGAAGGGGTAGACAGTTTATATGACTACTTACAGTCATGGTGGATCCTGTCACAATCTTTCACACTTCAGCATGCTGTCACAATCTTTCACACTTCAGCATGCTGTCACAATCTTTCACACTTCAGCATGCTGTCACAATCTTTCACACTTCAGCATGCTGTCACAATCTTTCACACTTCAGCATGCTGTCACAATCTTTCACACTTCAGCATGCTGTCACAATCTTTCACACTTCAGCATGCTGTCACAATCTTTCACACTTCAGCATGCTGTCACAATCTTTCACACTTCAGCATGCTGTCACAATCTTTCACACTTCAGCATGCTGTCACCGTGTTGGTAGGTAGGGACTTCCCACAAGTCTCTGTTGGTGATGCCTCAGCAGCACACAGCATTGCCAGGAGCAGCAACACAAGTTAGGAATGAAAGGTACATGACACAGAATTTTGTCTCTGTTGCATGAAATAATATGAATGAATGTTCTTGTGCAAACATGAATAATTCTCTTTCATCAGCTCTGCTGCGGGCTATACTACTCTTGTGCATGCTACTACTCTGGTGCATTCACATTGGTATTGGTGCGAGCAGCATGTGGTGCCTACCCCTTTGCCCTATTACCAGCAGCGATCGCAGCGATCGCACCGTGGCCCTGTCGTTTCGCGCAAAGGCCGATGCCGATAGGGTCTGATACACATGGCGCCACACATGCCATCACACACGCCATCACACACGCAATCACACACGCCATCACACACGCCATCACACACGCCATCACACACGCCATCACACACGCCATCACACACGCCATCACACACGCCATCACACACGCCATCACACACGCCATCACACACGCCATCACACACGCCATCACACACGCCATCACACACGCCATCACACACGCCATCACACATGCCATCACACACGCCATCACACACGCCATCACACACGCCATCACACACGCCATCACACACGCCATCACACACGCCATCACACACGCCATCACACACGCCATCACACACGCCATCACACACGCCATCACACACGCCATCACGCACGCCATCACGCACGCCATCACGCACGCCATCACGCACGCCATCACGCACGCCATCACGCACGCCATCACGCACGCCATCACACACGCCATCACACACGCCATCACACACGCCATCACACACGCCATCACACACGCCATCACACACGCCATCACACACGCCATCACACACGCCATCACACACGCCATCACACATGCCATCACACACGCCATCAGACATGAGCATATAGGCACATGCATGCATACGAGGGAACGCACACAGGAACAGAGAAACTATCATGCGAGAACAAATGTGTGCACGAAATCAATCCTCAAATTGAAAAATTCCTGAAAAAACACCTGGAAAACCACCAGAGGATCCACCTGGGCGCACCTGAGCAGCGAGGGCAACGGAGACGGAGAGCAGGGAGGCGGCGAGGCAGAGCTGCAGGGCGAGCTGGTGAGCCGCCCTAGGCACCGTGCCCATGGGCACCGTGGCCTGCCTCGCCACCATGCTCGTCCCCACCGCCATCGCCCCCAGCAGCGCCACTGTGCGCCCCAGTAGCAACCCACCTGGGGGGAGCAGTATGGACAGGGAGAGGGCAGGGTGCACGCTTGAGAGGGCAGTCGTGGCAGCGCGGGGTGGGTGTGTTGTGTCTGATGCGAAGGCGGATGCAAATGCGAGACTGTTCCTTCACTTGCAGCTCACCGGACTTAAAGAAGAGGTCGAAGGAGAGCGAGGGCGGGATGAGGTGCACTGTGCTGCTGAGTCGCAGCAGCAGCCACCCTGCCATGCCGCACTGTGCTGCCACCGTGGCTGCCGCTGCGCCTGGCACCCCGAGCCCGCCGGGTCCAACAGAATGCTCACCACGTTGCCACTCACTGCAGGGGTGGGTGGGTAGTGGTGGACCACGGATCACCGTTCGTTCCTTGGACGCACAGGCTGTGCATGTAGCGGCCTCTGCTGCATTCTCCTGGTCGTACACCTGGTATGCTCTTCCCGCCTAAAGTGCTATCCCAGGTGAAAGACGGTGCTCACCAGAGGCAGCGAGCGGGGTGTGCGTGTCCTTGAGCCCGCGAAACACGCCCTGCGCTGCGCCGTGAGGAACAGCACCACCGCGGGCGGGCGCGCGCATGGGCGACAACGGCCCCACGCCCATCACGCACAGCAGCCGCCCCGCTGCGCCTGCAGCAGCGCCTGCGAGCGCCAGCAGCAGCGCCTCTAGTGCGCCGCGCGCCACGGCCATTAGCAGCGCCGCTGACACAGATGGCACCACTGGCTTGGACGAGGTGGAGGAGGAAGCGGAGGGGGAGGAGGATTCTGAATTCGAGGCGTGTAGCTGATGCGGCTGGTGGTGCGGGTGGTGGTGCGTTGGGTGGGCGAGGAGGTGTTGGTTCTGGGTGACGAAGGAGCTCCGAGGTGCTCAACGTGCCGCTGCTCAACGGTCCTGGGTGACGAAGGAGGTGGTGATGTTGAGCAGCGGCACATTTAGCACCTTGGATGCCACACCCACCACCGCCACCGCCACCCCCACTCCACTTAGCTGCTCCGCGCCTGCCATAAAAGACAACGGGGGGCAGGGGAGTGCAGCGCGGCAGAGACAAGGCACACGAGATGGGCAGGTGAGAAGTTGCCTGACGAGCGGCCGTTGGGTGAATAAGGAAAGAGGCACTTGCCTGCGAAAACATGTCCAGCAGCTTATGCTTCAGATGAGTTACCCCGCTGCATAATCAGCTGACTAACAACCAATCTGCCCGTCAAAAGAACTGCTCTCACCCATCTGCCCTCACCCATCTGCCCGTTGTAAAACGTATCGACGAGCAACGAGAAACTAATGAAACCCCTCTTGGCCATCAAGGACGTTTCCCTGATGTTCACCCGAACACCACGATGAGGTGGAGGTTTCACGTTCGGGAAAACAATGCACAATGCGAATCTTCAATGCACGATGCGAATGTTCGATGCACGATGCGAATCTTCGATGCACGATGCGAATCTTTGATGCACGATGCGAATGTTCGATGCACGATGCGAATGTTCGATGCACGATGCGAATGTTCGATGCACGATGCGAATGTTCGATGCACGATGCGAATGTTCGATGCACGATGCGAATGTTCGATGCACGATGCGAATGTTCGATGCACGATGCGAATGTTCGATGCACGATGCGAATGTTCGATGCACGATGCGAATGTTCGATGCACGATGCGAATGTTCGATGCACGATGCGAATGTTCGATGCACGATGCGAATGTTCGATGCACGATGCGAATGTTCGATGCACGATGCGAATGTTCGATGCACGATGCGAATGTTCGATGCACGATGCGAATGTTCGATGCACGATGCGAATGTTCGATGCACGATGCGAATGTTCGATGCTCGATGCGAATGTTCGATGCACGATGCGAATGTTCGATGCACGATGCGAATGTTCGATGCACGATGCGAATGTTCGATGCACGATGCGAATGTTCGATGCACGATGCGAATGTTCGATGCACGATGCGAATGTTCGATGCACGATGCGAATGTTCGATGCACGATGCGAATGTTCGATGCACGATGCGAATGTTCGATGCACGATGCGAATGTTCGATGCACGATGCGAATGTTCGATGCACGATGCGAATGTTCGATGCACGATGCGAATGTTCGATGCACGATGCGAATGTTCGATGCACGATGCGAATGTTCGATGCACGATGCGAATGTTCGATGCACGATGCGAATGTTCGATGCACGATGCGAATGTTCGATGCACGATGCGAATGTTCGATGCACGATGCGAATGTTCGATGCACGATGCGAATGTTCGATGCACGATGCGAATGTTCGATGCACGATGCGAATGTTCGATGCACGATGCGAATGTTCGATGCACGATGCGAATGTTCGATGCACGATGCGCATGTTCGATGCACGATGCGAATGTTCGATGCACGATGCGAATGTTCGATGCACGATGCGAATGTTCGATGCACGATGCGAATGTTCGATGCACGATGCGAATGTTCGATGCACGATGCGAATGTTCGATGCACGATGCGAATGTTCGATGCACGATGCGAATGTTCGATGCACAATCTCCACCACATACCTGGACCGCAACAATGGCCATTAGTCACCAATGGCCATGAGGGTCCCACCTTGCAAGCACAAGGAGGAGCATACAGTCACCCCCTTTCGGGAACAGCACGTCTATAGTGGTTGTTTTTTGAGGTGCAAAGAGAGGAAGTGGAAAAGCGCGATCTGGCACAAGACTCAAATCCACCCCCTGGCGTAGCATGAGCTTGCCCGAACCAGAGCCGGCCGGCTCGGCTCCAGCAGGGCCTATTGTGCCTTAACGCGCAGGTTCGTTACTTGAGCACCGAGGGCCGTCGCCGCGCTAGTTCCCCAACCACCCCCGCACAACAAGCCACAAACCACGCAAGGGGGCTGCCCCTAAGGAAGTGAGCTACATATTACCTCCCATGCTTTACCTGTACCAACACACACACATACCACCCCATACCACCTTCATAGCAAAAGGAGAAACACACAGACACCCCCTTGAGGAAACAACACGCCTGAGTGGATGTATTTTGAGGTGCAAAGAGAGGAAGTGGAAAAGCGCGATCTGGCACAAGACTCAAATCCACCCCCTGGCGTAGCATGAGCTTGCCCGAACCAGAGCCGGCCGGCTCGGCTCCAGCAGGGCCTATTGTGCCTTAACGCGCAGGTTTGTTACTTGAGCACTGAGGGCCGTCGCCGCGCTGGTTCCCCAACCACACCCGCACAACAAGCCACAAACCACCCAAGGGTGCTGCCCTTAGGAAAGTGCACTGCATGATTGCACCCATGCTTTACCTTTACTTACACTCTCACCCTCAATCCCCAAGGCAGGCACACTCAATGCAGAGATGCACAAGTAAGGAGGCACGGTCAATGCAGGATGCACAAGTAAGGAGGCACGGTCAATGCAGGATGCACAAGTAAGGAGGCACGGTCAATGCAGGATGCACAAGGCAGGAGGCACGGTCAATGCAGGATGCACAAGTAAGGAGGCACGGTCAATGCAGGATGCACAAGTAAGGAGGCACGGTCAATGCAGGATGCACAAGTAAGGAGGCACGGCCAATGCAGGATGCACAAGTAAGGAGGCACGGTCAATGCAGGATGCGCAAGTAAGGAGGCACGGTCAATGCAGGATTCACAAGTAAGGAGGCACGGTCAATGCAGGATGCGCAAGGCAGGAGGCAGGATGCAGGGACGGAGATCAAGGCAGGCAGCGGTAGGGATCGAGGCGAAAGGATGCAGGGATCAAGATCAAGGCAGCGGTAGGGATCGAGGTGAAAGGATGCAGGGATCAAGATCAAGGCAGCGGTAGGGATCGAGGTGAAAGGATGCAGGGATCAAGATCAAGGCAGCGGTAGGGATCGAGGTGAAAGGATGCAGGGATCAAGATCAAGGCAGCGGTAGGGATCGAGGTGAAAGGATGCAGGGATCAAGATCAAGGCAGCGGTAGGAATCGAGGTGAAAGGATGCAGGGATCAAGATCAAGGCAGTGGTAAGGATCGAGGTGAAAGGATGCAGGGATCAAGACCAAGGCAGGGGTAGGAATCGAGGTGAAAGGATGCAGGGATCAAGACCAAGGCAGGGGTAGGGATCGAGGTGAAAGGATGCAGGGATCAAGACCAAGGCAGGGGTAGGAATCGAGGTGAAAGGATGCAGGGATCAAGATCAAGGCAGCGGAAGGAATCGAGGTGAAAGGATGCAGGGATCAAGACCAAGGCAGGGGTAGGAATCGAGGTGAAAGGATGCAGGGATCAAGATCAAGGCAGCGGTAGGGATCGAGGTGAAAGGATGCAGGGATCAAGATCAAGGCAGGGGTAGGAATCGAGGTGAAAGGATGCAGGGATCAAGATCAAGGCAGCGGTAGGAATCGAGGTGAAAGGATGCAGGGATCAAGACCAAGGCAGCGGTAGGAATCGAGGTGAAAGGATGCAGGGATCAAGATCAAGGCAGCGATAGGAATCGAGGTGAAAGGATGCAGGGATCAAGACCAAGGCAGCGGTAGGGATCGACGTGAAAGGATGCAGGGATCAAGACAAAGGCAGCGGTAGGGATCGAGGTGAAAGGATGCAGGGATCAAGATCAAGTCAGCGGTAGGGATCGAGGTGAAAGGATGCAGGGATCAAGATCAAGGCAGGGGTAAGGATCGAGGTGAAAGGATGCAGGGATCAAGATCAAGGCAGCGGTAGGGATCGAGGCGAAAGGATGCAGGGATCAAGATCAAGGCAGCGGTAGGGATCGAGGTGAAAGGATGCAGGGATCAAGATCAAGGCAGCGGTAGGGATCGAGGTGAAAGGATGCAGGGATCAAGATCAAGGCAGCGGTAAGGATCGAGGTGAAAGGATGCAGGGATCAAGACCAAGGCAGGGGTAGGAATCGAGGTGAAAGGATGCAGGGATCAAGACCAAGGCAGGGGTAGGGATCGAGGTGAAAGGATGCAGGGATCAAGACCAAGGCAGCGGAAGGAATCGAGGTGAAAGGATGCAGGGATCAATATCAAGGCAGGGGTAGGAATCGAGGTGAAAGGATGCAGGGATCAAGATCAAGGCAGCGGAAGGAATCGAGGTGAAAGGATGCAGGGATCAAGACCAAGGCAGGGGTAGGAATCGAGGTGAAAGGATGCAGGGATCAAGATCAAGGCAGCGGTAGGGATCGAGGTGAAAGGATGCAGGGATCAAGATCAAGGCAGGGGTAGGAATCGAGGTGAAAGGATGCAGGGATCAAGATCAAGGCAGCGGTAGGAATCAAGGTGAAAGGATGCAGGGATCAAGATCAAGGCAGCGGTAGGAATCGAGGTGAAAGGATGCAGGGATCAAGATCAAGGCAGCGGTAGGGATCGAGGTGAAAGGATGCAGGGATCAAGATCAAGGCAGCGGTAGGGATCGAGGTGAAAGGATGCAGGGATCAAGATCAAGGCAGCGGTAGGGATCGAGGTGAAAGGATGCAGGGATCAAGATCAAGGCAGCGGTAGGAATCGAGGCGAAAGGATGCAGGGATCAAGATCAAGGCAGCGGTAGGAATCGAGGCGAAAGGATGCAGGGATCAAGATCAAGGCAGGGGTAAGGATCGAGGTGAAAGGATGCAGGGATCAAGATCAAGGCAGCGGTAGGGATCGAGGCGAAAGGATGCAGGGATCAAGATCAAGGCAGCAGTAGGGATCGAGGTGAAAGGATGCAGGGATCAAGATCA